TGCTGCTCCTTCCTTTGCTTTGTTTTTGTGCTGACTTGTGCACTAAATGTAAACTACCATTTCAGAGCGAATACATTAAGCAGAGTCTTAGATATGTTGCTATGGCGTGAAAAATATTTAGTTTTACTAGCAATCTTCTTCATTTTGTTAAACTTATTCTTAAGCAGCAATCTTAACTGAAAGGATTTTGAAGGGTTTACGTGAAATTCTGATATGCTTTGTCAAAATGGGGAGCAAAAAAAACTTTTAATTATTTGGAGTTAAATATAGGCCTGGCAGTTCCTCTGCAAGGCATCACACACTGTACAAGTTGAAATGTTAATGAAAGTTGAACTTAACAACAAAAGCAACAAGAGAAAGCTCACAAATCTCCAGCCTGAATAGCAGAATTGGAATACTCGATAAAACTTGGAAGAACTGTCAAGGACTCCTCCTCTGTTCTTCCATTGAAACTTCATTAGAACAGGAACCTTACAGTGTGTTTTGTGTGTCAATAATTCAACTCTTGCACTTTGCACAGCTTGGGATTTATCACTGAAAATTATTTCTGTCTTATTTTTGAGTGAGAGTTATTACCTTGAGCATCTAGGAAGTTGTTTGTTTCTGTGTGTCACAAGAAGATGTATTCAAGTAGAGCAGACAAGGATCAGTCTTTTTCACCTTTACTTATTGACTGCTATCCTGTGAAATGGCTTTATGAGAAAATGGTTGCTTATGAGTGAAGAAAATTATTTGTAGAAGCAAATATCTCCTACTAAATTAAATGAAAATAACTTTGCATGGAACTTGAGCTATGCAAACCATTAAGAGCTTGGAATAGTGAATTTAGTTTTATATGTGTCAACAATTATTTCACTTTAAATTGTTGACCTTTATTTAAGACTATAAAAGATTAAGCTTGAGAAATACAGAGAACCAGCACAACTTGTTCCTCTTCTACATTTGTCTCGGATCCCTTTTTCTCGAGCAACCTCGCCCCACTTCATGGCATTCCCCCATCTATATTTGGTGCGAGGGCTTCTCTATTACTTAAGGTTGCTAAGAAAAACAAAACATTCCTGCCCATTTCCAGCAGTGGCAAAGGCTGTTACCATCACCCTGCTCAAGCAGAGTCAGTCTCTGTGTTGCGCTCATTGACATAGGTGCTGATTAGCAGTGTGAGAGCAGGGACAACAAATGAAAAAGCTGGGCAGCATAATTTCAGACTAGCAGCATAACTAGCAGACTGTAGCAGCATAACTATTTCAGGTTAGAAGTTGAAAATAGTGAATTTTACTCAAAAGAGATCAAGATGCATGTCCTCTCTCGTTCTCCACATTTACTTGAAATTAATTTCAAGTTACAACAAATGTTAATTGTAAATTTTTTTTTATTTTACAACTAAAAAAAAATAGTTGTAGAATTCTGAATAATCAAAGGAGCTGTGGAGAGCATATTAATGTTATATGCCTACCTGCAGTAACTGTAAATGTGTATGTAAGTCATACATAATAACAAGGTAATCCAGCCAGATGCTACACCAATGTCCAGTGGATGTCTTTTGACATGCATCTCCTGTAATTGCCTACATTTGGAAAGTTATTTGCAAGTAAGAAGAGCTAGAGTAAGAAAACGTAAGAACAGAGAACAAAACAAATCTTGAGCAAGTTGGGTAGTCCTTGTTAGTTATAATATATACATCTTTTGCTGAAGTTATAAGTTTATCAGAGCCTTATACTTGTATGTTTTACCCAATAATGTAACTGGCTTCTGCACCATAATCACTTGTGTCTCTCTTTTTTTTTTTTTTTTTTAGTGCTGCACTGAACTAATTTGAGGTATAGTTTCAGATTTCTTTTGGAATAAAAAATGAAAAAGACAAGGCTGTGTTATGACAAGAAAAATAAAACAGCAAGACTGGCAATATAAGCTGCCAGGTCTGAAGAGAGAGGAGCGGCGGGGGCCGTGAGCAGCATTCGCTGTTGCATAACTCATGAGGGGTCAGGGCAGTGACAGGTTTATAGGAATTCATGGTGTTGATACTTGCTTTCATTGTCAGGATGATTCCTGTAAATGCTGCTGGTGGGTCCTAGTGAGCAAATGGTTAGCAATTTACTGTTACCAGCATTACACTATTTCTGGGTTTGCGTTTATTTTAAAAAAGATGCTTAAAAAATTCCAACTTGTGTCTGATTGACAGTGAAATGCTCTTTACGTGAAGGTTTGTTTATGGGCAGTGATTCCTTTAATAGATTTGCAAGTGTCTGTGGAGTTTTAAAAGACTATTGCCCAATAGGCATTAAGTGAGAGACATTCTATTTTGTAAATATTTTCACTTATATTGGGGATTTTTAAAGAACGTTTTCAGCCAAATACTGCATTAAATCTGAAGACAGTGGCAAACTGATAATAAGTAGTTTCCAGCTTTGTTCTAATGTTTTGCTAATGGTTTCCATTTCTGTGGCCAAGATTTGCAGTGTGTGAAGCATGATGTACATCCAACAATTTGCAAGAGCTTTCAAATACTGTTCCACATATTTTCTTTTTTTTTTTGCAATAGTTCATTTATGCATAAACAATTTTCCAAGTAGCATATTACAATTAATGTGACAAACGTACAGTGCATACCAAGAAAATGAACCAAAAGGTTATTACAGTAGTGGAGAACTTGCATCTGTTTGAAATAAATGATGCAGAAACAGGTTGTTTATATTCGCAAAAGAAGATTTGAAGTGAAATGGTGAGAGAGGAAATGTTCATGTGATGTGTTTTGGTATCTGTTCCTCTCAAGAATCCTCCAAATTTTGGAAAGAGACCTCAGTCACTTTTCAGAATTTTTTTCAAAGAAGGAATATACAGCATGATATTTGGGCCAGAGTCATTTCAATAACAAAATCTTTTACTTCTAAAAAGACACCACTTTTTATTGTAATCAATATAAAAAAAAAAAAAGAACAAAACTTAGAAAAAAGAGTGTAATTCTCCCATAAAGACATTTTATGGGAGCTGTTTAATGTGGAAAACTTAGAAAATTAGAGGAACTAATGAAACAATTTGTTTCAATAACTTCATACATTTTTTGGCCTGAGTTAGCTTTTTATTTAAGTAATAACATATTTCAATATTTAGATATTTATAATATCTATCTTAATAATATTAGAGCACAACCTAAGGATTAATGTATTTCAAGTACACCGTGTGAATATACATTGACGTATTTTTTATGGGAGTTACTTACTAGGAGATCCAATGAAGAGTAGCTCTCAGAGATCAAAGTTAAGAGTCAGGGTACCTTCTCCAGTTCTTGATAGATACAAAGCTCCTTAATTATTTAATGTAAAATGAGATCATAAAAGATGGTATATTAGAGGTAGAAGTGCATGTAAAACCAAGTTCTTTAAGTCGTGTTTAATTCATAGAATTATTGATATTCATAGAATTCATAAAATATTCAAGAAATACAAGTATCTGGCTTTAAGTCATAGGAAATAATGCTTTCAAAATGCGTGGTAGTGAGGAGTCATGAATGAAGAAGAGGAAGAGAGCATTAAGATGATAAATACAGAAGTGAAAAGAGATCAATCTCAAATTACAAATGAAAAACAAAAAAGAAAAAAATACAGTGGTTGTCACAGTGGATCGGATGCATGCTGACCTCATTGGTATTATGTGGTCAGTGTGCACTGTCTCAGAAAAAAATTTGGATGTCTCAGAGGAGGGAAATGTCAGGTTCTTTTCTTCAGGCAGATCTCATCCTGTCTATGCTGATGGTTAAGAGAATTACCAAAGATCTGAAGGGTGCATTTTTATCTCATCTGCTATTTGATTGATCATTGTACATGGGCAGAAAGGATTCGTGCCAAAGGCTCCTGGCTATTTGGCATCCAAACAAATCCCTATTAACTTCATTCTGCACAGGTCCAGAAGTCTGGTTTATGCTGCAGGTTGAAAGACCAGAATTTAGCTGAGACTGTATGTCAGGGCATTCTACCTAAGCTCTTGAGCTCTTCTGTAATATCTTAAGTCTACTTGCATGGACTGTGAGGCGATGCTAAATCAAAATATGCCCTTAGATGGAAACAGGTATCTTCTCTGTATTTTTCGGTAGTAACAGTTATTAAATGTGCTTATAACCATGTTGGATCTTTATTAAATTCTGAATTATTTGGAAAGCTGTCATAATTTAATTACTTCTGATGATCTAAAAATATCACAGACACTAATAGTAGTAGTAAAGTAAAATGCATGCAGTTGTTTTCAACCTCCCTTCACTGCAGACTTACATTAACATGTTAATCACAAATTCTCAACTTCTCTTTTCATAATGCCCTATTAATTTGTGCCCAATATGTTGATTTATAAAATGATGGCAATTCAGTGTTGTACAGATGTTTTGGATGTTTTATGTAGCCAAACTGTAACCCTTTGTACAGAAGTTCTAGAAAATATTAAAATTCTTTGATTAATAATTTGGAGCCTTTTGAAGTTGGCATGACCTCACGTCTTAAAATAGCTGAGAGATTAAATGTCAAAAAAAATCCAGTTGGATATAAGTACAGAATGAAAAATGCTGCAATGAAAAATAGCCTGGTAGAAAAGTCCACCCAGCAAGTAATGGCATCTTGTATCAACAATATGCTCTTAATAATTTTGCCTGTGTGAGGCAGATACAGTAGAAATTGTGGTCACACACAGCCTAATTGTGGCATCCTTTCTTACAGGCTTCCACAATTTTATATCGTTTGTATTCTATAATTTGAATATTGGAATCATGCTAAATTCCCACGTCTGCATTTAAAAAAATGGTTAGCTTGATGTTTGGCCCTGAGTTAAAAAAAAAAAAAAAAAAATCTTTAAACAAGTACTGGTATTTTTATTTTAATATAATTTCTGGTTTCCTCAGTGTGTATTTCCATTGCTTCTAAAGTAAGTCTTGCTGAGTAATTTAGAAGTAGGCTACTCCAGGATCTGTTTTTGATAGGTGAATTCTGCCATAAATGTTTCTCAACTTCTTTTTGTAGTCTCTGAAAAGCAGATGAAATTAGTTTGCAGAGAGTCTTCAGAAGCACATCTCCAGCCCTTCAAGAAGAAATTAGAAGAATTCTTCCAGAAAGGTAACCATATTTTCCTGAAATTATTGGTATTGTCTTGATTTTGTGTAAGCTGTGTATATATAGTGTAAGCTGTATTAGATATGTATTTGCCTCTGAAAATTTCTACTATATGTTTTGGTTTATACTCCTAGTATGCATTAAGAACAATTACACAGACTTTGGACATCACTTGTCACAGATAATTATTTCCTTGATCTCATACATTTCCTATTGGCTATTTTCTGCTTTATTTTCTGTCATTATTTCTAGGTAAAATAAATTCGTTTGTATCACTTATGTACTCATACTAACTCAGTACGTATACATATTACACTGAGATTCAAAGATTTTTTGTCTGGAAATGATTTGCCAGGATGGAGTCAGGAGTTAAGGGGTCAAATCTGAGGGTACAATTTAATGATTGGTTAAAGACAATGTAAATGCAAGTTGCTGCTGCTGAAATGCTTAGTCCCAGACCGTGTTCCCATTCCTCAATGCTTGTGCCAGCAAGAGTGTTTGGGGCTGTGTAAGGTGGACAGAGTATTGATCTTTGCTTTATTGCCAGGTTCAAGGAGTACCAACTAATTGGTTAGCAGATCTAGTGTTATCTTATGATGACTATATTAAGAATTAAATACTACTCAAAAGCTAGTATTTGTCCCAGAATCTCAAATAATTCACAATTTGATGTTTCAGAAGTCAAATGAATTATCTGAAGATCTGAATCAAAAGAGAATGTGTAGTTAATAATAGTCACCATTCAGACTGTTGTAATGGTTTATGATTTATCTTAATACTTTTTATAAAGATTCCTCTAATGTCTTTTTAATAACGTTAGTTCATGAGGCTATAATATTTATATAATTGCTAAATTGAAGCAGGATGTTTTAAAAATAGCAATGCTTGTTAAACAGTACAGTTAAATAAGCTGATACTTTTTCTCACCCTTCTCCAGACCATGGATATTATTGGATATGTTTTTTCTTTCAGTTAAAAATTTGTTTGGACGGCATTAAAGCTACAAATTTCTTACCACATAACTTGTAAAACCATAAAATTGTACTGAGAATCAGTGTCGCAGCAAGACAGTTGTATTGGTCTTTCCGACTTAACTGGAAATTTTCACTTACAGTTTAAGAATAGTGCCAAGATTGAGATTTTGCAATTTATGTTTCTACTGTATTTTTAGAATCCCCAGTACCACTGGGGATTCAAGTGGGGTATCAAGTCCCACTTGATCTTACTTGCCATAATATTGTAGTAGATTAATTTAATTATATTTTGTATAGATCATTTGATTCATAATACTCTAGGAATTATCCTGTTAGGCAAGCTCAGAACTTGAATAGCTTGTTCCTTTTCTAATAGCCAGAAATACATCAAAGATGTGTTGCTGAAGTGGTTGGTGTGGATCTAGACCACAATTAGATTTTGACCAAGTCTTGCCAAAGCTCTAAGCAAAAGCTGACTCCCACCTTCATACTGCAGATTGTGTAATTCTTGCTGTACTCTGGATCTCTGAGGTGTAGCAAATTCTCGTCATCTTAGTAATTAGAACTCATTTACCCATTTTGTCTTGGTTAAGACTGATCTCTGCTTTAGAGGAAGGACCTTGACTGGAATCACCTGTCATTTCATGTAGAAATCCATATTCCCTGCTACAGCTGACTTGTTTAAGCAAACCTATACATGTGGAAAATAATATTTATTTCATCCTTAGATCACAGAAACAGAAAATAACAGAGAATTTTTATATCTGTGAATGGTATATATTTTTAAAGATAAGGTACGTTCCTGCATGGTATCTGGAACAGTGAGATCTATGCATAATTGCTAAACTTACTGGACATTTCCAATATATTTTTCAGACTTTTTAATTTTAAATTAACTTTTAATTAAATTTTAATTAACTTTAATATATCTTTTTAATATATATTCTGAAAATATGTATGTATGACTTCCTTGACTATTTTTTTCATATTTTTCATTTGTTCTTCTTTGCTTTGTCATTTTATATATTAAGCTAGCTAGTCATACTACCTTTAATCATTTCTAGTTTAATTTCTTATGACATTTCTGTTTCATCTACCTTTTTCTGAGATTAATTGTCAATAGGTACCCAGAACATTTAAAGCAATCAAAGAGGCCTTTCCATCACAGTTATCCTGATTTTTAAAATAATTTGTTTTACCTGTTGCAGTGCTGAGAAGGACACTTTTTTATTGATTTGCATATATTGGTGTTCTCTGAACTGAGAAAAATTGAGAACTTATCAGAGTGATATAAATGATTATTCTATAATACCTGTCATTTCTTAGCTTTCTTAAGCATTTCATATGGGAAGAAATATAATGAAAATGGAATTTACTGATTTTTTTTTTTTTTTTTTTAGAATACAAATTAGTTCTTTTAAAAGGCATTTACTGGCTTTTTATACCCCATTCAGTTTCCTGACTCTTTGTTTGCTTGCTTTTTAATAAAGATGATTTTTGGATGTTTTGAATTATTTTGGATAATTCTGGATTTTTTTTTCTTCCTCTACATGGCCTGGTGATCTATAGCACATTTGTTATTTTAGAGGTTCAGCATCTCTATTTTCGACTGAGATTCTGTGGATTTTTTATTTGCTTTTCTTATGTTACTGGCAATATATTCAACTGGTAGAAGCAATGGTATTCATCAGTGCAGCTGATGGATAGTAAATTTTCAGCCATAGGGTCATTCAGATGTGCTCTGAATAAAGGCAGCAATGCCTACCATAGATAAGCAGTTTCCTTGGTATTTCCATCCATGAAAGCAGTACTCTTTCTATGGGTAATTTTTATAGCAAATAAAATTTTTAGTAGACGAAGTGAGCTTCTGCCAGAATTTAGCTTAGGTCACTCTTATCTAGAATCAGTTTTACCTTTATTATTAAGATAGATGGAGAATTTGAGACTGTTGTCAATCTTCTACCTGTGATTTGTTGATAAATCCTGCGTGCTCATTTCAAGCTGTGATCAATAGTGCAAATCAAAATCATTGGCCTTCCTCTGCTTTGAGAACTGGTGAGCAGTCTCAGTTTGGATGTGTACGTGCCATGATGTTAAACATGGTTAAACAGGTACTTAAATAAGATAATAACAACCTCTTATATTTGATGTATCAGTCTATGCAGTCTAACTTGAAGAGTTAGAAACCTACTGTAGCTAGTGCTGAATTCCTACTATCCTTTATTCTGGCTCTTTCTGCCTCCTGTTTAGCTTCTTCCTTTCTTTCCATGGCTGTGCTCCTAGGACTCGGTGGGTACTTTTCTGCTTGGCTCCAGAAAAAAACATCTTGCATCGTCTTTTCCAATTTGTGGGGATTGATTGTGAACATGAGGTTTTTGTATGCACCTAATTTGAAAGAAAATGCCTTATTCCAGTTAATTAAAATATATTTTAAAAACATATTTCAGTATGCTTCTATGCATCAGTCTTTATCAGTCTGTTAATTCTTGTGATTCACTGATGTGATGTAGTGCTTTTCCTAGGAAAGAAACTATACAGGTAAAATAAGAAAACATTGAGAAAAGTAGGTGAATAGTAACAAAAGATAAAAGTTCAATCTCAAAAGTTTCAGAGTACAGCAGGGAGAGTGAAGAGTTGCACTATGCTGCCTTTCCCATTTCTTCTGTGGTATCTTTTTTGTATTTCTCAGTTTTTGTTTTCATTTTCATTGGATTATATGAGTATAGTGCCCTGCAGACCCTATAATCACTGAGCCTGTTTCTTGTGCAGTCCCTTATATAATGGATTTGAATTTTTATAATTGGTGGGTAATACCATATATGGCATTGGAATGGAAGTCCTAAAAAGTCTGTAGTGAAGTACAGAATATCATAGGAAAACATCTTGCTTAATAGTATTTAAATAAGTATTGGACAAATTTCAAAAAGTTCAGAGGTTCAGTTTAGATAAGTGTCTGGAAATTCAGCTGCTCTTCTGAAATCAGGAGTTAACTGATAATGCTGAGCATCCATTAAGCATCTGCTTTCAGTTTTGTTTGTTTAAAAAAGAGTTGTGGCTGGTTTAAGCAAATGTATGAAAAAGTTGTCTGCCAGCTCACAGCAAGTATCCAAAGCTCAGATGCTTCTCTGAAACTTCTGGCTTGAAAAAAAAAGAGCTGGAACTCATAGATTTTCAAGTCTTTCTCACACATATGATTTCCCATCATTTCTAGTGAATGCTAAGTGAAAAATGTAAGAAAGGGAGGAAGAAAAAAAAAATACTTTGATTTGCTTTAACTGAACTGTTTATATTTCCCTAATTACAATTAATGCCAATTAAATCTAATACTTGCTGTGTTGTAACAAAAAAACACTGAGAGTGTTATGGAGACTGACATTCTGAAATGCTAGAGGGGATAAACTGTACTTCTGCTGATGTCAGTACTGTTTTGTGTAACTAGATGTAATGTAGCCTAGTGCCTTGAATTAGGTGCCAAAACCCTTAGCTTCTCTTCCCAGTTTAGCTACTTGACATCTGATGCTAGAATAGTTGGTTAATCTCTTTAGGCTTAAGTTTTCCGGTACATAAAATGTTAAATAACGATTCTTGCTATCTTTTGTAGTGGAAGATAATCTTTGTAAAGTGTTTTGTGGTTCCTTGATGAAAGACTGCGTGTGAAAACTGTGTTAATGATTCATTTCTCTATTTCACATGCAGATTTGTTTTGAGATGGGCTTAGATTATTCCAAAAGGAGAAGTAATGATTAATAAATCTAATTTCATTACATGCAAAATAATACATATTAATTTTACTAGAATATGGACATCTAAGAATTACTATATAGTTAATATATATCCAGTGGTTTTTTTAAAAATATCTTCACTATGTTTTCCTTTTAAAATTAACTTTGAAATCATTAAATAGTGATTACTTTGGAATGCTCTTTAATCTCTAAAATTCTTGCTCAAAATTGCTTGACAAAAGACTACACTTTGGATACAAAGGTAGCACACAAAAAAAATCAGAACAGACTAATATGAAAACCATTT